CAACCACGTTTTGTCATCAAAGATTAATTTGCATGTTCTAGAATATTATATAAATTGAATCATACAGCATATACTCTTTTTGTGGGGAGATTCTGAATTCTTTCACCCTACTTTTTTTGAGATTCATCAATGTCCCATGTATCAATAGTTCATTTCTTTTTATTTCTGCACTGAACTGTCTTTGCACTGTTGTTGAAATCAATTGAATATATATATATATATATATATATATATATATATATATATATATATGTGAGTCTATTTCTGGGGCAAATTCCTTTTGGGTACTCTACTTAAGCTCCATGATCTATGAAGTTTTCCAAATTGGCTGGTGGGAACAGAAATTATTCCTGGCCTTTATTAGCTCCATGTATTCTTACTTTTAATCCTAAGTGATTCTTCCCTTGACCTTGGGATGTTTTGTCACACACATGTACCAGTAAGAACTAGGTTGAAGAGCTGAGGGAGATCTCTTGCAGATCTCTGAGTTTCTCTCTGCCTGTACCTCTTTTATCTCTGTTCCTATGCTCTACAAATGCCAGCTGCCTTGGCCACTCTGGACTCTCAACTTTCATTGTCTTCTCAACTCATGAAGACCACAGAACTCCTCTGGGAATCCTCTCTATGCCATGGTCTGGAAACTCTTTCCAGCCAGTAAGCTTGGGCAATTATAGGGCTCACCTTGTTTGTTTCTGTGTTCACTGTCCTTTGTTGTCTGATGTCCTATGTCTTTAAAACCAGTGTTTTATATATTTTGTCTGGTTTTCTAATTATTTAAGATAGAAGGGTATAACTTGTCCTTGTTATTCCATCTTGGTTGATGGGGAAAGACTGTCTGGCACTATTTTAAGTGCTGGATCTATTAGAAGTGAACAAAATGAACAAAATCCTTGGCTTCAAACAGCTTACATTCTAGAGGGTTCTAGAGGGGGATGGCAGACAATAAACACATGAAAGAAAAATAATATGTATAAATAAATGATTTCTGAAAATAAATGCTGTTGACAAAATAAAGAGAGAAGTTGGGCTACCCTAAGGGCCCAGATCCAAGGGGAGGGAACAGAGATTCAACTTCTCGGAAGAGTGTCAAATATTATGTAGACATGTTTTAAAACCACCATGGTCATGGCAAAGAGTTTGGATTATATTATTCCACAGGAAAGCCACTGGTGAATTTTCAAAAAGGAAATGATGTGCAATGATTTACAATTTCAACAGACCACTCCACCAGGATTACTATATACAAAATAAACATGTAAGAATCAATTGTATTTTTATATACCAGCAAAACAATTAGAAAATGAAATTTTAAAAATGATACAATTTACAAGAGCATTAAAAAATATCACCTACCTAGGAATAAGTCCAACAAAAAATGTGTAAGACCTTTATGCAGTAATTATAAAACTTTACTGAGAGAGACTAAAGACTAAATACATGTAGGCTGATACCATATTCAAGGATTGTAAGGGTGATAATTACAAAGATGTTTGTTCTCACATTGGTCCATAGACTCAATGCAATAACAATCAAAATATCTACAGTTGTTTTCTGCAGAACTTGGACAAACTAATTCTAAAATGTATATGGGAATGTAAAGGATCAAGAATAGCAAGCCACTCTTGAAGAAGGAGGAGGAGGAAAAGCAAGAGGAGGAGGGACTTGCTCTACTTGACATAAGACTTATTATAAAGTCGCAGTAATTAAGGCAGTGTGATATTTTCACAAGCAACACAAATAGTAAAAGGGAGAGAAAAACAGACCAATGTAATATAAGAAAGAGCCCAGAAACAGACCCATGCACATACGGACACTTGATTTATGTCAAAGATGACATTACAAAGAGGGAGGGAAAGGATGGTCTTTTCAGTAAACAGAGTTGGAATAATTTTGTATGCACATGGAATGAAGGAAGAATGGAGGGAAGGGAGGAAGGGAGGGAGGGAGGGAGGGAGGTAGATACTCTACAGAAATACTTGCACATATGCACTGGGAGATGTGTACAAGAATTTTCCTAGCAGCATTATTCATATTATTTCTAATTTCAGACAACCCAAAAATTCAACAACAGAATGGACAAATAAAATGTAATATATCCATTAAATAATTTTATTGAATCAAACGTGAATAAACTACAGCCTCATATAGTATGTATGAATCTTAATTAAATAACAATGTTAAATGAAAGAAGTCAGACACAGAATACATACTACATAATTTCATTTATAAAAAGTTCAAAACCAGGGAAAATGTAATGTTTGGTGATGCATAATAAAATGATAAAACTATAAAGAAGATCAGGATAGTGGTTATCTTTATAAATGAGATAGAGGGTAATACTGGGAAGGAGTTGGGGACAAGACTTCTAGAGTTTTGGTAATATTCTATTTCTTGATCTGAATGGTGGTTATGTGGTATTTGCTTTACAATGATTCATATAATAATTATATACATTTTATGTACCCCTCTATATGCATATTTCACAGAAAAAAGTTTTTTAAAAAGTCAAGTTCACTGTGGCTACTGTGTATATAGGCAAGTGTGCAAGCAGGAGTCCAGTTAAGACATGATGGCCTGGACTAGGGTTGAGAAGCAATCAGATTTAGGAAACATTTTAGAGATCGAGGTAATAGGATGATGAGGAATGTGAAGAAAAAAAAGGTAAAACAAACACTAACTCATAATAAAATACAGTGATAAAACATGAAGAAATAACTAGGCTTTTTTTTTTTTTTTTTTTTTTGAGACAGAGTCTCGCTTTGTTGTCCAGGCTAGAGTGAGTGCCGTGGCGTCAGCCTAGCTCACAGCAACCTCAAACTCCTGGGCTTGAGTGATCCTTCTGCCTCAGCCTCCGAGTAGCTGGGACTAACGGCATGCGCCACCATGCCCGGCTAATTTTTAATATATATATCAGTTGGCCAATTAATTTCTTTCTATTTATAGTAGAGACGGGGTCTCGCTCTTGCTCAGGCTGGTTTTGAACTCCTGACCTTGAGCGATCCGCCCGCCTCGGCCTCCCAAGAGCTAGGATTACAGGCGTGAGCCACAGCGCCCGGCCTAATAACTAGGCTTTTGAAACAGAAAATATTAACGTGAAGTTCCAGGTTGTGTGAGTAGGTATTAGACGGAGGACTTTTGTCCAACTATTTCAGGGAAGACTGTATAGAAAAGCTGGGGAATCTAATACTTGTGAACAGATTGTGAAGGAAATGAATAAGGGATGACACAATTAAAGGAGTAGTTGATAGTTTACAGGTAGATTACTGTGTATAGTTTTATGCTATTTTGCACATTATTTTATTTTTGAGACATTTCATGCATTACTTAGGACTACCAATTAGATCCATTGAAGGTGTAGCACATTACTTCAAACACAGTAGCCATTCTGTAAATTCTGATTGACCTGTGAAGTCTTGAACAAGCACCTCACACATCCTCTAAAAGCCAGGATAAGACACAGTGATCCAGCATGACATACATACGCGCCTAGCTGCCTATTTAGCCGTGCCTATCTACCACGTAATATATATTAATAGCTTTTACATTATTGGCTTAGTTTAACTTTAGGATGTTACTGGAAATTTATTTTTGTTACAACTTTTTCTCATTTAGGTAGACTGATGGATGGGTAAGGGAATAAGGGGTGGGGTTGAGTTATACAGAAATAATGACAAGAAACAGAAGTTTGTGGGAAGGAAGACCTCTCAGTCAACCCACTTTATCTAGAAAGGCTTCCTGCATGAGTCAGAGTTGATCTGAGAATCTTCCAGAATTAGGCAATAGGAGGAGGGGAAGATTTTTTTTCAGGCTTGTGGGACAATGAGAACAGGATAAAGTGTTGATTTTAAAAATTCTCTGGAGTCTCTAATTTAGTATATGATTTAGGCATGACTTTCCCTTCCATACACATTACATACCTTATGACATTAAAAATTTGCTGTTGGGCTGAATGAGAGCGAATTTCGCTTTGACAGATATTTGAGATTCTACTAGAGCCCTCATACAATGTTTACGATGAACCAGGCACCATTAGGCTTCTTCATACTAACTTATGAAATATGATGGCATTTTAACATAACATATGAAGACAATTATCTCCTCCTGTACTTCATCCCTATTGCTTAATCCTTTGACTTTCCAATACAACCATAAACAACCATAGCCATTCTCTCCCAGCACTTAGGAAGGCTGAGGCGGGAGGCTCACTTGAGGCCAGGAGTTCAAGTTCTAAGGACTTCACCTATATTAACTCATTTAATTCTCCCAACAATGCTGTGAGGTCATCTTCATTTTATAGATGAAGAAACCAAGGCACTGAGAGGGTGGTTAGATAACTTGCCTGAAGTTGACGAACTGGAATTTGAAGCTAGCCATTCTGATTCTAGAATCCATAATCTTAACCTAGGTGGTGTGTCTTTCTCTTAGAAAAAGAGTGAAGAGGATAGCATAAATTATGGAACTTCCTTAGGCTTCTTCATACTAACTTATGAAATATGATGCATTTTATTATAATATGAGACATATTATCTCCCTCCCTGTTTACTTCATCCCTATTGCTTAATCCTTTGACTTTCCAATACAACCATAAGCAACCATAGCCATTCTCTCCCAGCACTAAAGGCTGAGGCAGGAGGCTCACTTGACGCCAGGAGTTCAAGACCAGCCTGGGCAACATATAGACTAGGCTCTACAAAAAATTTACACCTGTAGACTCAGCTATTTGGGAAGCTGAGGCGGGAGGCTTACTTGAGCCCAGGAGTTCAAGGATGCACTAAACTATAATTGTGGCTCTGTACTCCAGGCACAGAGCAAGACCCCATCTCCTACAAAAAAAAAAAAAAAAAAAAAAAAATGTGGCTGACCACAGCTTTAAAAAAAACCCTAACATAACTTTTCTATTTTAAAAAATATTTCAGGGGATGGTCATGCTGGAAACTCAGACTTGTGGGGGGAGGGGGGGAAAGGGCATTTATTGAAACCTTAAAATCTGTACCCCATAATAAGCCGAAATAAAATAAAATAAAAAAATATTTCAAACTTTATTCATATACATTGGTCAGCCTCCTCAGTTATACGTCTGCTTTGGAAAAAAATCCACTGAAGTTTTTGAGTTAATGATTCAAAGCTTTGAAGAATATGTAAAAACCTTACAGCTATACACTGGATTTGGTGTGCTACTGTTCAAGTTCCAGCACTTTAAGGAACGTTCAGGAGTGACTAATACACTAATTTGTTTCCAGAGGTCACAAGGGCTGTCATAATTGACAGCTTTCTTTTCAATCTCCTTACAGTTCAGAGTATGAAAAAGTGGGAAAACTATGCGACTTCCCAAGCAGGGAGGACGAAGAATGGTATTGGAAAGTGACTTTTCTGCTGCGCTCCGGAGTTTTCACACGTTCAAACTACAGACAACTGAATAAACGCAATAAAGACATCTAATTCTCCTATAAAACGGTTATACGTACCCTGACTAACTGGAAAACAATAGATCATAACTTGAATTAAAGAGGTGCTGTTCTTCAAATAACGGGCTTGGGTTTCTTGAAAAGCTATAGCGTACAAACTCCACCCTAGTCCACATCTGCTTTTTAAAGCCTCCCCCTGGACTGCTCTTCCTTCAGCCTTGGCGCCTTCCCCGACATACCCTCCGTAGTCTTCTCTAGTCCCCACCCTGGACGTCAGCCTCTGCACCTAGAGGCCAGTTTAGAGGGAAGACGGGCAAGAGGGGAGGGAGACAGGAGAGACAGAGCTAAATGGTCAATTCCTCCTTAACTCCGGGCCCCCTCGCGGGCCTCACCCCTCCTCGCGGGGGCTGAGATTGGAGAGGAAGTGGGAAGGCTCCAATCTGTTCCCCACTCCAGCGCCCTCATGCCCCCACCCTTCTCCTCAGCTCGTGGCTTCGGCGCGCCTCGTCCCCGCCCCTCGCCCCGGGAGAGGAGCGGGCGGCGCGGGAGGGCTCGCGGAGAAAGGCCGGGAGCAGACGGCCTCCGCCCTACAGCCGCATCCTCTGCAGCAGCGGCCCATAGCCGCCCGCCTGCGGGCGAGCCAGGCCCGAGGGCAGCCCCAGAGACAGCGGTGGCCGGATGCGCGGGCGCGTCACTTCCGGGCGGTGCAGCGGCGGCCGCTTGGAAGATGGCTGCGCCCTGTGGCTCGGAGCTGCCCGCCAACTCGCCGCTAAAAATCCCGAAGATGGAGGTGCTCTCGCCGGCTTCTCCTGGTGGCCTGAGCGACGGAAATCCATCGCTGTCCGACCCTTCCACGCCTCGGGGTGCCTCCCCGCTCGGGCCAGGCAGTGCGGCGGGCTCGGGGGCAGCGGCGTCCGGGGGTCTCGGGCTGGGGCTGGGGGGCCGCAGCGCCGCCTCGTCCTCGGTCTCCTTCTCCCCTGGTGGCGGCGGTGGCGGGGCTGCGGCAGCCGCTGCCGCCGCCTGCCGGGGCATGTCGTGGACGCCAGCCGAAACGAACGCGCTCATCGCAGTGTGGGGCAACGAGCGGCTGGTGGAGGCGCGGTACCAGCAGCTGGAGGGAGCCGGCACGGTATTCGGCAGCAAGGCCCCCGGGCCAGCCATGTACGATCGCGTGTCCCGGGCCCTGTCCGAGCTGGGCTACGAGCGGACCCCGTCTCAGTGCCGGGAGCGCATCAAGGTAACCGGCCGCCCGGCCTGGGGCAGCGCACCTGAGGCAGAGAAAAAGCGGGGAAGCGGGCCTCGGGGGCGGGGGCCGGTCTGAGTGCGGGGCTCCCCTCCGGGGCCCGGTGGGCGATTCGCATCTCCTCCGCCTTTTTCTTCTCTCCCTGGGAAGGGGGCTTTTTTCCAGATGGCCGCCAGCCCGTAGGTTTCCTGAGTTTGAAGTTGGGCGTGTCTGCCGCCGCCCCTCTTTCTTGCCAATTGAGGATGTTCCTGCGCTCTGAAGTTGGTAGTTTCTTATTGTGCGCGGTGCGGCAGTCCCCGTGCTGCTGGCGCCTCTCGCCCCCACCGCCGGGGCCCCTTGCTTTGTTTCAGGTGGAGGGGCTCCCAGGCAGAGGCTTACCAGCCGGGGTGGGATCGAGAAAGGGCAGAAGTGGGGGGGCCGTTGAGCCCCCAGTTTAGGAATTTTCAGAAGTAGTTGTGGCAAAGCCACACAAAAAGCGCCTTGGGACAACTGGCCTTTGTGTCAGTCGCTTTGCTTCTAACTTGAGCTACGAAGGACGAATAAGACTTGAGATGCTTTGGAAAATTGGAAAGGCTTGATTGTAGCCAGATTGTGTATTGTTATCGTGAAGTTAGCGGGCACCATGAAAGTTAAGTTAGCCTGGCCAAGAGTTGTTCTGGAATTTGGATTGTCGATGCCTCCTGAGTTAGATTGGCTTGAGGCCCTGCTGTTTCTGATGAAGCTCCTTCATGAAAACCAGTTTTCCCCTGCTTCAGTTACTGTGCCGGATGTGGTGACAAGTAGAACTCTGAGTGTGCATCTGGCCATCCTTGTGTATCTGCATGTTGATATGCAGAGGCTTAATTTGGGCTACAAATTTTACCACCAGCCGGGTTATCATTTTGCTGTTTCTACTGCCTTTTAGCTAGTATTCGTATTTATATCATTGGCAGATATGGAGTTGTGCTTCAAACTCATTCCCTCATCATAGTGTCTACTAAGAGATTTGGGTAGGATTCTCCCAGTTTTTACTGAACTGCTTCTACTACTTAGCCACAGTATCTGTGTATTTCTTTTTCTGGTAGGGCTAGCACTTTTTCAGGGAACTCCTTGAGGGTGAAAACCACTAAGAACAATCATAAGTAAGAGTAATCACACTAATATAGGGAAATTGCACCAAAGTTCACAAGATCTTGGCTCCAGTAGTGTTCATTTGGGGACACTGTTGTTTAGAAAATTTGGTCGAAATACTAAGATATTTCAAACCAAAGCAATTTGGCATTCATTACTCAATTATAGAATTAAATTAGTTTATTTGTTAACATATACCTTTGGGGCTTTCTTTTTCTTTTTTCTTTTTTTTTTTTTTAAAAAAACAAGGATGTCATCAAAGTAGTAGTTAATAGGAAGAAACTACTGTTCTTTGTCATTCATTGTTCTATTCAAAGTCATTAGGTTAAATTTTTGGGAGAATGTTTGCGCTGTCCTGCCCTAGCATCTATCCATGAATTTTTATCTGTTTGAGAAGTGTACTTTAGGCATTTGTGACTGCTTTAGCTTGATTGATTTCTGTCCATATAAATTTCCTAATCACACAGAGAAAGTGTGCTATCAAAACCTCATAGAATATAAACCTCTTCGTAAAATTGTTTCTCCAGTAACCAGGGAATATCTAGTTGGGTTGCTTCATTGTCCAATTATGAGAAGGATAACCTAAAGCGAGGAACAAAGATTGAGCTTCTTTGAAGAATTTTAAAAAGAAGATCAGTTTACCTGTCTCTAGACAGGTAAGACCAAGTTGATCTCAAGCTCTTAGAATATTTTGAGAATAAGCAGATGACAGTGGGTTCTCTGGACCATAATAGCAATTAACAAGGAGTGCAGATAACTATTTTGTTTTTTTAAAGTGCCCTATTCTTTATGTGATGTCAATCAAGGAACCCAGGCTTTTTCATTAATAATGTTGATCTTCCCTGCCAGAATGATAAGCTCTTTAACAGGTTCTGTTATTCACTGGTGTACTAGCAAATAGTAAACACTGAATACATATCAATTAAATTCATCAAATGAAGTCTAGAAAAGAGAATTTGGGAAAGTATAATCTACAGCAGTATTATTCAAACTTTAACTCAGAAACCTAAGACTTTGAAACCCAGGTTGAAAACATACTGCAATAAAAACTAAACTCTGTCCCTTTAGGAGATGTAGTGTGAATGTAATCTTAAGCACAGAAGCAAATGTGGTCACTGAAAGGATAGCCTTATACAGTTATGAGGTGGATGTTCAAGTAACCCAGATTATACTTAGGAAAATAAAAATGCAACCTTAAATTCTCAGAGAACCTCAAACCTCTGAAAACAAATTCTTAGATCCTAGTCTCAGAAATGATGATTTAAAAACAAGTAATTCGGAAATCTCTTTCACTTCATTGTGTTGATGAGAACTGCAAAAAGAAATTCAGTAATACTTTTAGATTTTACAATTTAGAAACAAAGTATTTCAATAAAATGTGGAAAATGAGGAACTTCTTGTACATACTAATGGAAATGTGAACTCAATGTCAGGCTCACTGAGAAGGAATACCATGTGAGTCAGTTACATATCTGATCTAATATATTTGAAATTCCCATCAAAATTCAATTATGAACTGGATATGGTGATGTGCACCTGTAGTTTCAGCTACTTGGGAGGCTGAGGTGGGAGGATCACTTGAGATCAAGGCTGCAGTGTGCAATGATGGCACTTGTGGATGGCTACTGCACTGCAGGCTGGGTAACACAGACTTAGGCTCTTAAAGAAATTCAAGTATGAAAACTCAGTAAATAATTTCTTCTAAGTTTGAAAGGAAGAGATATGTAGTAACTTTAGTTTTCCCATGCAAACCTTCCTTTAATTATATAGTTTCAACATGTTGATGTAGTAGTCTTCATCTCATCATATAAAGGATCAGAAAGCTGAGTCCTGTCTCAACCTCTTTCTGACCACCTTCCTGAGTAACTTTAAAGCACATCACTTAACCTTCTTTGGACTGTGCCTCAGTCCTCTTATCTATACAATGAAAATATTTAAAATTGTAAATATTGAAGTTGAATTAATAATCTTAGATTTTGAGACTAAAGTCCTACTTTTTAATATCAAATGATGTATTTCTACACACACATGATTTTAACTTAGATATAAATGTTTGTTATTGCTGCAGAGAGTTTCATTTTGATGTCTGTCATTTTATTGGTATTTGTTCTATCACTTGCATAAAATAGATGTGTTTGAGATTGCATTGCTACACAGAATGTTGTTTATTCTGAAGTTATGTTGCTTTTTCGTATGTTTGCCAGAAGAAAATTTGTCTGCTAACAATTCTAGCCTGATTTTGGAGTCAGATAAACAAATATAGGTGGTTCTTTGTTAAGTAATTGCATGAATTTTCTCCTTTTATATAGGCCTTTTCTTCATATCTCCATTCACCAAATACCTGAGTGCTTCTGATATGCAAGGCTGTCTGCTGGATATTAGGATGGATAAAAGAACTGTAGTCTTAAAAAACAGAAAGAAGCCGGGCGCGGTGGCTCACGCCTGTAATCCTAGCTCTCTGGGAGGCTGAGGCGGGCGGATTGCTCAAGGTCAGGAGTTCGAAACTAGCCTGAACAAGAGCGAGACCCCGTCTCTACTATAAATAGAAACAAATTAATTGGCCAACTAATATATATAGAAAAAATTAGCCGGGCATGGTGGCACATGCCTGTAGTCCCAGCTACTCGGGAGGCTGAGGCAGGAGGATTGCTTGAGCCCAGGAGTTTGAGGTTGCTGTGAGCTAGGCTGACGCCATGGCACTCACTCTAGCCTGGGCAACAAAGCGAGACTCTGTCTCAAAAAAAAAAAAAAAAAAAAAACAGAAAGAAAGAAAAGAATTGTAATATACAGTTGGTGTAGTCCCAAAAGTTTACAATCCAAATGAAGATTGTATACATACATCAAAGAGTTAAAAAGCTGTACAAGACTACACAAGGGATGGTGTGCAAGGCTGTACTTGATTCAGTGTCATATGACTAATGTGGACTATAATGTGATGACTTCAAAGGAGGTGAACGATCTCATCACTGTCCATACTGTAGTAGTTGAAAGATCTATCTTGAGTTGGAATTCATGAAAGCATTCACTTCTGAACCAGATGCTGCATTCACACTTCAGTCAGTTAATTTGATGCCCTGCAAAACTCATTCTCAAGTCCCATATTTTTGGGTGTTCTCCAGAAATTTCCCTCTTGAGAGTTGGCTTTATGTCTTTGAAACAGATGTGTACTTGTAGCTCTGCCTCAAGATGAAATGCAAGGTGATTGTATGTGACCTAAAAAACTTGCCTTTGCTGGATCAGTGCTGGTTGCTGATCAGACAAATTTAGAAGTGGAAAGGAGTCTTCTGTCCAGCAAACAAAATGATTAATTTTCTGAGGGTATTGTTTAGATCTATCCATCAGTAATTGTCATCTTTGGAACAAATTTTGTACTTTAGCAGACAAATCACAATATAGTGTATTTGGTCTTTTATTTTAGCTATTGAGGCTTGTGATTATTTGTTTGTTAGAATGAATAGGGTAAAGATAACTTGGAGCCCAAAGACACCTTTGTCCCTGTATAAACATTTTAATAGACACTGCCCATCTCCGAGGACTTCTCTTTGGTGTTTGCATTATCATTGAAAGATTTCCAAGATATATGAAAAGCCACTCAAATAGTTCATAAGAAAGATTTAGTCAGATTTGTTTTGTATCATTTTTTACATATTTAGCTTCTTTTCTCATCCCACTGTCACCTGAAAGTTTATGCATTCCAGTTTGCTTGTCTGCTTGTGAATGTGACAGAAGCTTAATGCATGTCTTATAAGAATAGACCATCTTTGACAACTGGGCCATATGCTTTAATTAGGCTTTCAGTTTTGGAAGGAAGCAATTTAACAAGCACATGTTAAAACTGAATGAACAGAATTCTGACTTCCTGGCATTTTTGGAAATTTAGTGAA